GCCACGGCGTCCAGACGCCGGTCGATCTCGGCCACCGCCGTCAGCGGCGCGGCCAGGCGCTGCGCCAGCAGCCGCGCGCCCGGCCCGGTCGCCGTGCGGTCGAGGCAGGCCAGCAGCGACCCCTTGCGCCCGCCGGCCAGGGCCTCGGTCAGCTCCAGGTTGCGCCGGGTCGCCGGGTCGATCTCCATCACCGCGCCGCGCGCCTGGCGGCGCGGCGGCGCCAGGCGCGGCAGCCTGCCCTTCTGGGTCAACTCGACGTAGTCGACCAGCGCGCCGGCGGCGGCCAGCTCGGCGCGGGCGAAGTCGCCGAAGGCCTCCAGCGCCTCGACCTGGAACAGCGCCTGCAGGCGCCGCTTGGCGTTCTCGCTGTCGAAGCGGGCCGAGGGCAGCGGCGTGAGCACCGCCTTCCAGTCCTCCAGCGCCGCGGCCAGGGCGTCGCGCTGCAGCAGGCGGTCGGGCAGCAGCAGCTCGCCGGGGGCGACCCGCGCCAGCACCGCGGCCAGGGTCTCCGGCGTCGCCGGCTCGGCCAGGAAGTCGCCGGTCGAGACGTCGAGCCAGGCCAGGCCCAGGCCGCCGCCGGCCTCGGTCAGCGCCGCCAGGTAGTTGTGCCGGCGCGCGTCGAGCAGCTCGTCCTCGGTCAGGGTGCCGGGGGTGACCAGGCGGATGACCTCGCGGCGCACCACCGCCTTGCTGCCGCGCTTCTTGGCCTCGGCCGGGTCCTCCATCTGCTCGCAGATCGCCACCTTGTGGCCCTGGCGGATCAGGCGCGAGAGATAGGCCTCGGCGGCGTGCACCGGCACGCCGCACATCGGCACCTCCTCGCCGGCGTGCTGACCGCGCTTGGTCAGGGTGATGTCCAGGGCGGCGGCCGCGACCTTGGCGTCCGCGAAGAACAGCTCGTAGAAGTCGCCCATGCGGTAGAACAGTAGCGCCTCGGGGTGCGCCTGCTTGATCTCCCAGTACTGCGCCATCATCGGCGTCGCGGCCGGCGCGGCGGCGGGCGATGCAGCGGCGGGCGATGCAGCGGCGGGCGATGCAGCGGTGGGGGACGACTCGGCGGCGGCGGACGCCGTCTCGGGAACGCGTGCGGGCATCGGACGTCTGAACTCGGGGGTGGCGAGGAAGGCGCGAAACGAGAGCGGCTTGCGAGCGTCCGGAGCCGCTGCCGCGGCGCCGCCGATCACAAGAAACCGGCTCTCCATCATAGGGTTAGAGTGATTTCCGGTCGAGTGGCACCGCAGCGCGGGCCCGCCGGGCGGACAAGAGATCTCCATTCAATCATCATGTTAGACCGACCTGCCGGGCTCTGACGGTACGCGGGCACGGGGGGCGCGGGCACGGGCGTCGCACCGACGCGGGCGGACCAAGCGGGGGAATCGCCCGCCCGGCGCATCGCAGCCCTGGTCAAGTCGGGCTGCGTCGCTAGAATGCGCGCCCGAGTCGCGGCCAGGGCCCGAGGCGCCTGGCCGGCGCAGCTCAGGCACAGGCAAGTCAGGCACCAGAGAGCGAGGCAGGCGTGAGCGAAGAGTCCAGCGAGACCGGCGGGCCGGCGGCGGCGCAGGTCACCGAGGTGGTCGGCCGTTTCGAGACGCGGGCGGCCTTCGAGCAGGCGGTCAAGGCCCTGCAGGCGGCGGGCTTCGGCCATGCCGACCTCTCGGTGCTGGACAGTCACGAGTCGCTCGACGCCGCCGGCAAGGAGGGCGAGGCCTGGCAGGAGACCCTGGCCTCGCTGACCGGCGAGGTGAACTTCATCGGCCCGATCGCCGCGGCTGGATTCATCGCCATGGCGACCGGCCCGATCGGCGCCGCGGTGGCGCTGGCCACCGGCGCGGGCCTGTCGGGCCTGGCCGCTCGCGACATTCTGGAGCAGATCCAGGCGACGCCGCACACCGAGGACTTCGCCCGCGCCCTGGAGGCCGGGGCGGTGCTGCTTTGGGTGCGGGCCGAGACCGCCGAGCAGCAGGCCCAGGCCACGGCGATCCTGGAGGAGGCCGGCGCCCACGACCTGCATGTTCACAGCCGGCCGAAGCAGGGCGGCGAGGCCTGACGGCCGGCCCGGCGAAGCCCCGCCGGGCCTCCCGTCATCTCTCTGAAAAACTTCGGGTCTTTCATCGTCTGGAAAGACCCGGTTATGTTTCATGGGCAGCAGGGGTGGCCTGGCGCCGGCGCGCGTGAGCCGCGCCGGGGCGCGGGCCGCCCGCGTCGTTCGTCTCTTTGCAGGTGATCTCGACCGATGGAGCAGCCGGGGCCGCAGTGCGCGCGGCACGTTCGAGCATCGAAACGCTCGGGCGCGAGCCTGCCCCCTTGCGCCGCCGCCTGCCCTTCCGCCTGCGCCCTCACCGCGGCCGGCCCGGGTGGCCGACCCGGGGCGGGGGGCTAGGGCCGCGCCATGCAGATCTACCTGCCGATCGCCGAGCTTTCCCTCAACGTCTTCCTGCTGCTGGGGCTGGGCGGTCTGATCGGCTTCCTGGCCGGGCTCTTCGGGGTGGGCGGCGGCTTCATGATGACGCCGCTGCTGATCTTCATCGGCGTGCCGCCGGCGGTGGCCGTGGCGACCCAGGCCAATCACGTGGTCGCCTCCTCGGTCTCCGGCGTGATGGCCCACTTCAAGCGCGGCAACGTCGACGTGAAGATGGGCCTGGTGCTGCTGGCCGGCGGCTTCCTCGGCTCCACGGTGGGCGTGGCGCTCTTCTCGCTGCTGCGCGGGCTCGGCCAGATCGACCTGGTGATCAGCCTGTCCTACGTGATCCTGCTGGCGGTGATCGGCGTGCTGCTGATGCTCGAGGGCGGGCGCGCCCTGCTGCGCCGGCGGCGCAAGCTCGCGACCCCCGGCCGCAAGGGCCATGCCTGGGCCGCCGGCTGGCCGCTGCGCATGCGCTTTCCCAAGTCGCGGCTCTACATCTCGGCGCTGCTGCCGCTCTCGCTCGGGTTCGGCGTCGGCGTGCTCTCGGCGATCATGGGCGTGGGCGGCGGCTTCATCCTGGTGCCGCTGATGATCTACGTGCTGGGCATGCCGACCGCGGTGGTGATCGGCACCAGCCTGTTCCAGATCATCTTCGTCTCGGCCAACGTCACCTTCCTGCAGGCGACCCAGAACCAGACCGTCGACCTGGTGCTGGCGCTGCTGCTGGTGCTGGGCGGCGTGGTCGGTGCCCAGTTCGGCGGCCGCTTCGCCGGGCGGCTGCCGGCCGACTCCCTGCGCATCATGCTGGGGCTGCTGATCCTCGGCGTGGCGGCCAAGCTGCTGGGCGACCTGGTGACGGCGCCGGCCGACATCTACAGCCTGGGGGTGGAGTGAGATGCGCCGGCGCGGCCTTCTCTTTGCCGCCGCGCTGCTGCTGGCGCTGGCCACGCCGCTGCGCGCCCAGTCGCTGATCGCCGACCTGTCGGAGCATCTGGTCGCGATCACCACCGGGTTCGCCGGCGTCGACGTGCTGCTGTTCGGCGCGCTGCAGCTCCCCCAGGCCGCGCCGGCGCCCGAGGCCGCGCCCGACGGTCCGGGCGCGCGCGGCCGGCCGGGCGACGTGGTCGTGGTGGTGCGCGGGCCGGAGCGCCTCCAGACCCTGCACCGCAAGGCCAAGGTGGCCGGGATCTGGATGAACACCGCCAGCCTGACCTTCCAGCGGGTGCCGAGTTTCTACGCCGTGGCCGCCAGCCGGCCGCTGGAGGAGATCGCGGCCGACACGGTGCTGGCGGCCAACGGCATCGGCCTGGAGCATCTCGACTTCGACCTGCCGTCGGCCAAGGCCAGCGGCCCGCTGCGCGACGCCTGGCGCCAGGGCTTGATCCGCGCCAAGCAGCGCGAGGGCCTCTACGTGCCGGAGACCGGGCAGGTCAGCCTGATCGGCGAGACGCTGTTCCGCAGCGAGGTCTACTTTCCGACCAACGTGCCCACCGGCATCTACCAGGCCCAGGTCTTCCTGTTCCGCGACGGGCAGGTGGTCTCGGCCCAGGTCATCCCGCTGTCGGTCAGCAAGGTCGGGCTCGAGGCCGAGCTGTTCGACTTCGCCCACGAACAGGCCGGCCTCTACGGCCTGATTGCCGTGATCCTGGCGCTGGTGGCAGGATGGGTCGGCCACCTGATCTTCCGGCGCGACTGACCGGCGGGCGCGGCGGCGGCGAGCACGGCAGGGGATGAGCGCGACTCGGAGTAAGCGCGACACGGAGTAAGCGCGGCACGGAGTAAGCGCGGCACGGGGCAAGCGCGACAAGAAGGGGCAGCGCGGCAAGAACCGGCGCGACAGGGGCGGGAGCGAGGATGAGCCCAGACGAGGAGACCCGGACGGAGGCGGCGCGCCCCGACCCCGGCGAGGACCCGAACCGGGGCGCCGGCCGGGTCTTCCTGGTGGTGGTCGACGAGAGCCCGGAGATGGACGTGGCGCTGCGCTTCGCCTGCCGGCGCGCGCGCCACACCGGCGGCCGGGTCGCGCTGCTCTACGTCACCGAGCCGAGCGAGTTCCAGAACTGGCTGACCGTCGGCGAGCTGATGCGCGACGAGGCGCGTCACCAGGGCGAGCAGGTGCTGCAGCGCCTGGCCGGCAAGGTCAACGAATGGGTCGGGCGCATGCCGGTGCTCTATCTGCGCGAGGGCAATCGGCGCGACGAGTTGTTCGAGCTGATCGCCAGCGAGCCCGAGATTTCGATCCTGGTGCTGGGCGCCTCCACCGGCAAGGGCGGGCCCGGTCCGCTGGTCGCCGCGCTGACCGGCAAGTATGTCGGCAAGCTGCGCGTGCCGGTCACCATCGTGCCCGACAGCCTGTCGATCGAGGATGTCGATTCGCTGTCGTAACGACCCTGCGGATCGGCGCGCCCGCCGTCGCCCGACCGCCGCCTTGCGCCCGTCGGTCACGGACCGGCCGTTTTCTGCGCTTGAAATGGTCTTAATGCCCTATTAAGTCGCCTCCGGGCCTTCCCGACCGGGAGACGAGGAAACATGTTCATTCAGACCGAGCAGACGCCGAACCCGGCGACGCTGAAGTTCCTGCCGGGCCGCGCCGTGATGGGCGAGGCGGGCACCGCGAGCTTCGCCAGCTTCGAGGAGGCCAAGCGCTCGCCGCTGGCCGAGCGGCTGTTCGAGGTCGAGGGCGTCACCGGCGTCTTCTTCGGCAGCGACTTCATCTCCGTCAGCAAGGACGAAACGCAGGAGTGGTACCTGCTCAAGCCGGCCGTGCTGGGCGTGATCATGGAGCACTTCGTCGCCGGCAAGCCGCTGCTGCGCGAGGAGCTGGCCGAGGCGGCCGGCGACGGCGAGCCGGACAGCGAGGTGGTCGCCACCATCAAGGAGCTGCTGGACACGCGCGTACGCCCGGCCGTGGCGCAGGACGGTGGCGACATCATCTTCCGCGGGTTCGAGGACGGCGTGGTGCTGCTGCACATGCAGGGCGCCTGCGCCGGCTGCCCCTCCTCCACCGCCACCCTGAAGATGGGCATCGAGAACATGCTGCGGCACTACGTGCCGGAGGTGACGGAGGTCCGCGCCGTCGGCTGACGGCCGGCGCCGGACCTTGGCGCGCTCCGGCCACGGCCGGCCGCCGCCCTTCGCGGGCGCGCCGGCCGCCGCGCGACAACGCGCCAGACAGACAGACAGGGTTCTTGACGCAATGATTGGCACCCCCGCTGCGGCGCCGGGCCGCTCCGGACTGCTTTGCGCGCTTGTGACCACGGTGCTGCTCGCCACCACCGTGACGCTGGTCGATGCCGTGGCGGGACCGAAGGCGCCGCTTTCGGCGCGCACCACGGCCACGCTGGAGACGGCCACGCTGGAGACGGCGGCGCGCGCGCCGCAAGCGCGCCAGGAGGCGACACTGCCGGCCGCCCCCACCCCGCAGCCGCTGCTGCGGCCACGGCCTGGGGCCGAGCGCCTGGGGCCGGCGCTCGGCGTCGCCGAGATCGTCGAGCCGGCGGATTCGGCCGAGCTGAAGCGCGCCTTCGAGCGCGCCGGCTTCCGCCTCGACGCGGTGCGCCGCGGCGCCGCCGCGGTGCCGCGGCTCTACGTCGCTGCCCTGCCGGGCGACCTGCCGGAGATCGGCCAGGTCGAGACCCGCAAGCGCGTCTTCCTGCGCTCCGTGCTGCCGCTGGTCCTGCTGGCCAACGAGGAGCTGCGCCAGCGCCGCGCGCGTCTGCTCGACCTGGCGGCGCGGATCGAGGCCGGCGCGGAGCTCCCGGTGGGCGAACAGGCCTGGCTGGACGCTCTGGCCGAGCACTACGAGCTGGAGCACGGCGACCTCGACGGCCTGAAGCGGCGGGTGGCGGAGATTCCGCCCAGCCTGGCGCTGGCGCAGGCGATCGTCGAGTCGGGCTGGGGCACCAGCCGCTTCGCGCTGGAGGGCAATGCCCTGTTCGGGCAGCGGACCTGGGCCGAGAGCGACCCGGCGCTGGTGCCGGAGGAGAACCGCAGCGTGCGGGTGAAGGCCTTCATCGACCTGATGGAGTCGGTGCGGGCCTACATGCACAACCTCAACACCCATCCCGCCTACGCCGCTCTGCGGCGCGAGCGGGCGCGCCTGGCCGCTGCGGGCGAGGCGCCGGCCGGCGGGCGGCTGGTCCACGCGCTGGAGACCTACGCGGAGATCGACGGCTACGTCGCCAAGCTGCAGGCGCTGATGCGTCAGAACAAGCTGGCCGATCTGGACGGCGCGCGGCTGCGCAGCCGGCCGATGACCGCCGTCCGGCTGCGCTGAGGCGCGGCCGTTCCGCCTGACCGGGGCCGGACCGGCCTGCTCCTGTCGGCCCCTCCTGTTTCTGTCAGCCGCGCCGCCATGGTGCCAAAAAAAGGGCGCGACGAGTGCGGCTCGTCGCGCCCCTTCTATCCTGTCCGCGTGCCGCGCCGGCGCGCTTGCCCCGGCGCGGCGCGGGTCCTGCCCGTCCCCGGCCGCGGCGTGGCTTGCGCGCGAAAGCGGCCCGCCGTGCGGGGCCGCCCGCTCGCGGCCCGCTTCAGCCCTCCAGCATGCGCCGCAGCAGCTCGACGTCCTCGGCGAAGCGGTGGTCGGTGCCCTTCAGCTCCTCCACCTTCTTGACCGCGTGCATCACCGTGGTGTGATCGCGGCCGCCGAACTTGCGGCCGATCTCCGGCAGCGAGCGGCTGGTGAGCTGCTTGGCCAGGTACATGGCGACCTGACGCGGCCGGGCGACCGACCGGGCACGACGGGCCGAGTGCATATCGGTGATGCGGATGTTGAAGTGCTCGGCCACCTTGCGCTGGATCTCCTCGATCGTCACGCGGCGGTCGTTGGCGCGCAGCAGGTCGGTCAGCACCTCCTGGGTGGTCTCCAGGGTGACCGGACGGCCGACCAGGGTGGCGTGGGCGACGATGCGGTTCAGCGCCCCCTCCAGCTCGCGCACGTTGGAGGTGATCTTGTGCGCCAGGAACTCCAGGACGCGGCGCGGGATGGTCACGCCCACGGTCTCGGCCTTCGACTCCAGGATGCCCAAGCGCAGCTCGTAGGTGGTGGGGTGGATGTCGGCCACCAGGCCCCAGCCCAGGCGCGACTTCATGCGCTCCTGCACGCCCTCCAGGTCGCTCGGGCTCTTGTCGGCCGAGATCACCACCTGGCGGTTCTGGTCCACCAGCGCGTTGAAGGTGTGGAAGAACTCCTCCTGNNACGTCGTCGATCATCAGCACGTCGACCGAGCGGAACTGCTCCTTGAAGGCCACCGTGTCCTTGGTCCGCAGGGCGCGGATGAACTGGTACATGAACTTTTCGGCCGAGAGGTAGATGACCCGCTTGTCCGGCCGATGCTGGCGCAGGTGCCAGGCGATGGCGTGCATCAGGTGGGTCTTGCCGAGCCCGACGCCGCCATAGAGGAACAGCGGGTTGAAGGGCACGGCCTCGGCCTCGGCGATGCGCCGGGCGGCGGCATAGGCCAGCTCGTTCGGCTTGCCGGCGATGAACTTGTCGAAGGTGAAGCGCGGGTCCAGCGCGCCGGAGACGTCGAGGTCGCGGATCTCGGCGCCCGGGGCGCTGCTGTCCGCGCGCGGCGCCTGCACGGCCGGGGCCGCCACCGGGCGGCGC